TCTTTATTATTGGAAGATAATGAAATGGTAAAAAACCTTAGCATACATAATGAGGTATTCAAGTCAGACGTAAAGTTGGTAACTGTTGGTGTATGTTTACTTTGATGAACCTGGCACCTTCAATAATATGTGAGTCATTTTTCATGGTAATATGTATAATAGTATTTTTTATATACGTATTCATTTCCATTTCATTATCTTTCAATAATAATATAAAAAACTATTATAGTTTGATCCCTCACCTAGAACACTATATTTGATTCAAGATTTTAGAGTGTAAGTTAACAAGTTTTAAATCACGTATATTTTCATAAATATACGTTTACAAATTATTATTCTAATTAATAATTAATATCGTGATTGTTCTGATAAGTTATCGAAGTTAGTATAAATTTAGTATATTATATACCGTGTATGTAGTCTCCTAATCGCGTGCCGAAATTTTTCTTCAGACTTTACAACGCAACTCTAAACAACTACCACGATAATATCACTTTTTGTTAGATTGACACAATCTAACAAATTTCGATGCCATAGCATCTTATTAGATCTTAATAATATGTTGAAAGACATATATTCAAATTTAATGTTAAAGTAATGATAATTTAAGCTCTGCAAAAAATAAGTTTACGAAGAATATCACAAGTTGGCGTTTCGTCCCGGTTTCCATTACTGGACTCATCAGTAAGGCATTGTAATGGAAACCTACCTTAGACGCCTTAGGGAGATGTTAGAAAGAAGTTCTATATAAACAATCACTCATATAATTCAGCACTTGCGAGAAATCAAATGAGTAACTATAGACCTCTATTGGCAAGTCGACGTAGTGATATTCTTCGTAATGTTGTTAATATTTAAAATATGTAGTAATAGCGCATTTTTCAGATTAGGAGACTACATACACGGTATATAATATTCACACAATGATAATAAAACACTAACATCCTGTTCCAAGACTCGATTAGGCATTTTCACTTTCTATGATTTTAAATCTTACGAGTCTATTGATATCATCATTCAATTTATATAAGATATAGAATTAAGTATTTTGAATTTGAAAAAATATTTGTTATAAAAAGATAATTATGCGATGAAATTAGTCATCATCATTATTACAATTAACGCAAACATAAGATTTAGAAGTATTTCGAGAACAATTAGCATGTGCCCAATCTTTACAAGTGTTACATTGTATCCATGTTTCACCGGGAGCACTATCTGCATACACTTCACCACACACAAGGCAAAAATATTCATTTTTTGCACATAAATTATTATTATTGGAATCCTGTAGAATTTTTTTCTTAATATGTTTCGTTTTCTTTGTTGCTGGTCGTTTCGCGGCAGATTTCTTTTTATTTTTATCTTGCTCCATAGCAAGAGCTGTTTTTTCCGGAGTGTCAGTTAATATTGCTGTTCTGCAACGCTTCCTATTTGTTATTTTGCGTGGTCCAGCTTTAGGAAAAAGTCAAATAACTTCTGGAGAAATAACATTAGACATTGACGCCACAGGACTATGAGTTTCTATTTCAACAACATTCAACGTTTTTGACGGCAAATCTTCATGATCCATGGGATCAGATCGATCGGTCACATAACTTGGTGCATAGTCGCTTCCATTAAATATATATTTATTAAATGGGAATATTTCAGATCTTTCGAAACCTTTTACAATATTTGTGATAGACAATGCTAATGGTAGGGATGTGCGGACTATTGACGGAATGTCGTAGATCGTCATAGTCTTTCCTAGATTAGATCTCAACCACCCATCTTGAGCTGATGACAAATATTTCTTAAATGATCCGTATACAGCCAGATCAAGAGGTTGAAGCTTGTGAGAACAATGTGGCGGGAACGAGAGCATCACGACGCCATTTTCTTTAGCTAAATCCAAAGTTTTTATTGATAGATGCGATGAATGGTTATCTACAAAGAGCAACAGAGGAGAATCCTTCGAAGGTCTTACGTATTTAATAAAGTGATTCATAAAACCATAAAATTTCACATCTGTCATCCACCCACTAGCATTACCCATGCCGATACAGTCTGGCGGACCATTTCTCACGAAATAATCACGATATTTTTTTCTAGGAAACACAAACATTGGTGGAATAGATATTCCAGTTGCTGAAACTGCTACTAATACAGTTACGTTAATTCCTCTTTCCGCCGAAGTAACTGAGCCAACATTTCGTTTACCTTTAGCAGCTATAATTTTCGATGGCTGTGTAACTGTTGAAACACCTGTCTCATTAGCATTCCATATTGATGATGCTGTGAACTTATTCTTGTCCATTACCTCAGCGAGTTTATCGAAAAAGTTGTTAACATTTGTCTTATTAAATGATGTCGCTCTACTCAAACTTGTAGCTTCGGGTTTTCTTATAGAAAGACTTTTGTTTCTTTTTAAGAATGCTGTTAACCAGTCTGACCCAGCTATTTTGTTAGTATGCCAAGAACGGGGAATATTTATATCGCATTTGACAGTAATATCGTACGCCAAGCGACGAACTTCCTTAGGTCCAATGCCATAAAAAATTTTAGACAGTTTTAGCAAGTAATCAGTTAAACTGGTTTCTTGATCCGCAGTTAAAATTGATCTTAATGCGTAACCAAAAGTAAATGAATCAAGATTACTTTTGTAACGTGCTATACATCTTTTCAATGACTATCTGCAGATGTTATAATTACTTACTACGGACCGAATCGAATGCTTTTCTTTAATGACTAATTCTACAGCCTGTTTCATCAGTTCCACGGATTTGGTCCCTCGATCAGTCTTCCTCTTATAGTTGCGCATTCTGAAAAACTTTTAGGAATATTATATACACCTCGTTAATTTTTTTGTAAGTTATTACTATAATACTCAACGTAATATAGAAACTTTTGTAATAAACATTACCAAAGTTTCCTTATAACTTTAATTTGTTATGTAGGTACAAATAGTAAAATGTAAGATTATTTTTAATAAAAATATAATTGAAAGTCTCTCGGTAATTAGACTAGATCCAAATGCTGCTTCGCCTCTGATTTTGATTATATTAAGCTCATTCGACGCGTTTGTGTTGCTACACTTCGCTTTGATTGATTTTCTAACCTTAATAGATTAACTTTAACGCGTGATATCTCGGTTCGCAGAGCCGATCCAACGTTTTTATTCTTACAAATCTTTTATTTCGTACAAAAGCACGTCGAATAAGCCTAAAGGCGCGTCTACAATAGGGTCCGTAAGCTTAACATAAGCGTAAACGTAAAAGTTGGTTTATTTGAACTTTTACGCCTTTGACTCCGGTTTATAAAAGTTCCAGGCAATAGTTTGCATAGAGCAACCATGAGCTACATAACTATATAAAATAAAATATTCGTATTATAATATAGTTCAAGAAACATAACAAATTATTAAAAATTCTTAAAAAAATTATATAAACTAGTTATGGACTCTTTTTTGTTAAAAACAAATAAACAAACATAAATTAAAGGCTATAAAGAGTCAAACGCAGTTAACTATGCGAAAAAAAATTTTTTTAAATAATCTTACAAATTAACATTAAGATGCCCCGTCGAACGTTTCGGTCTGCAATTTAGACCATCTTCAGCGACGAAATAATAATAAATCAATACTCCTTTTACTCCGAGTTAGAATGCAAGTAATCAATTCTTGTTGAACGACAAAACGTTCCTGTGCACCAACTAGAGGTAAATACGATAATGGATGTGGAGTTGTGTAATGAACTTCCGAAAAATCAGAAATATGTCTCTGTTGGTAGACAAAAACATTATTTCATAATTAAATTCACAATTTAATCATACTTAAAGACTGACTGTAATAAATATGCGTCCGTATTCGACAGTAAAAGACGATACAAACAATTGTTTCGTCTTTTACTGTCGAATACGGACGCATATTTATTACAGTCAGTCTTTCTAGTATGATTAAATTGTGAATTTAATTATGAAATAATGTTTTTGTCTACCAACAGAGACATATTTCTGATTTTTCGGAAGTTCATTACACAACTCCACATCCATTATCGTATTTACCTCTAGTTGGTGCACAGGAACATTTTGTCGTTCAACAAGAATTGATTACTTGCATTCTAACTCGGAGTAAAAGGAGTATTGATTTATTATTATTTCGTCGCTGAAGATGGTCTAAATTGCAGACCGAAACGTTCGACGGGGCATCTTAATGTTAATTTGTAAGATTATTTTAAAAAATTTTTTTTCGCATAGTTAACTGCGTTTGACTCTTTATAGCCTTTAATTTATGTTTGTCAAATTATTAAAAATATTACAAAACATACTTACTATAAAGTAATACATAATCGATGTGCCGGCGAGAGAGGCTCACGAAGACTTTTTTTTTGTCAGAGGCTCTTGTACTAATTCAAGTTGTCTTTCAAATTGTGAAACAGTCATTCAAGTAAATTTGAGAAATTCCTTATCATTATGGTTTTTACTAAATTGAAAAAGAGTATGAAAATGACCATTATGTTTTCGCTGCAATAATAGTGGTCGAACCCAATATTTTCGTTTAGCAGTCTTTTTTTTTCTTTGTAATAACTGCATAACAATAGTAGCTAGTTGAATAGTTACAAGATTAATTTTTTTAACTCGATAAATATCCATTATATTATATAGTTCTGAAATTCCTATATATTGTATATAAACTTATGTAATACAGAGGTTAGAATACTCAAATACGAGTTTACAATTTATTATGTTACGTTACGTTTATGGGCTGCTATTGTAGACAGTGCGGAGTGATTTCTTATGTTTACGTTTATGTTAAGCTTACGAACCCTATTGTAAACGCGCCTTAATTTCATTAAAATCGGAGATAAAAATCGCATTCTGAATAATTACCTGTCTCTGAGTAACGAACACCTGATAATGCTAATTCTACAATAAATCGATAATCGAAAGTAATCGGTAACGTTTCGCTATTGATCAACTTCACTGATTTAGCATTATCGACTTAGGATTATCGACTTGTTATATAGAATCAACATTAACGAATACAGCACAACCATGGCACTTTTATCCCAACAAGACAAGTAAACTTTGCGGCATTGTTATTAAAAACCTATAATAGTAATAACCATTTTAATAATCACATTGTTAAAACAATAGAATAAGATTAATAAATACACTTATTTAATCTATCTAGGTGCAAAAATGATCCCTTCAGACCAAAATAACTGCAGCGCTAATAGATTACTTTTGGCTCTCAAACACATGGGCACATCTGTGCAAGCTTCCTGGTGGTTATCAGGTAGCAACGAACTGTGTGATATAAGATTCTCACTTTTAGTAAACAAACTGTGTGGTGGAATTTTCTAGTAAATGCGTTATTTCCGAGATACAAGAGGTGAACCTTTTTCCCCGAGGACCTGTACTCCCCGGTCTACCCTAACTCAACAAGTCGTTTCTGTACGATTGAGAGCCATGGGAATGATTCAAAAACAAGGAAATTGGGTGCTTTATGAACTGAAATCGAGAGACGTTGAAAGGCGATTTTTCACTTGCGAGCAGCTGATTCAAAGGCAACAAAGAAAAGATTTTTTGTATCGGATTGAGACTGGAGATGAGAAGTGGATATTCTACGACAACCCCAAGAAGAAAAAATACTACGCTAAGCCCGGTCAATCGTTGCCATCGACCTCAACATCAACACCAAAGCCGAACATTCATGGTTCGAAGATCGTGCTCTGTATCTGGTGAGATCAAAAGGGTGTTGTTTACTATGAGCTGCTGAAATCTGGCGATTCCATTACGGGCAATCGGTATCGGCTACAATTGATTCATTTGATCCGTGCATTGCGAGAAAAACGGCTAGAATACGAGCAAAGATAAAGTGATTTTTCTTCACGACAACGCTCGGCCTCATGTCGCAAAAGTCGTAAAGAAATATTTGGAAACGTTCAAATGGGATGTTTTACCGTACCCGCTGTATTCTCCTTCTAATTACTGATTATTCCGAATGATGCAGTATGATTTGGCAAGTCACTGGTTCACTTCTTCCACTGAAATCGAAAATTGGCTCCAAAATTGGATCGCCTCCAAAGACGAGTTATTTTTTCGAGATGGAATTTGAAAATTGCCTAAGAGATGGGAAAAAGTAGTAGCCAGTGATGGATAATACTTTAATTAATCTGTTTATTCATTTTGTTTTCAAATAAATTCATTTTTGAACACAAAAAAACGGACCGAACTAATTTGTACTCTCAATAATTTAATATGTACCATACTATTCCGCTTTTCTTTGTTCTTTTGTATGAGAAATATTGTTTACAAATGAATTGAAGATTTAAAGGACTCTATTATTTTTAATAATAATTCACACGTTAAATAAGGCGAATAAGAGTCAAATTACAATATGAAATCTAATTTTGATAATTTATTCTAATATTATATATTGCGAAGAATATCACGTAATTTTTGGCGTTTCGTCCCGGCTTCCACTACTGGACTCATCAGTAAGGCAATGTAGTGGAAGCCTACCTTAGACGCCTGTTTAAGTTATTAGATCGAGAATCTATATATACAGATATACGCGTATCCAAGCACTTGCGAGAATCTTTGCGAATATCTATAGACCTCTGATGGCGAGTCGACGTAGTAATATTCTTCGCAATATATTTATTCAAAGTAATATATGTGTTA